GCGTGTTGTCTCCTCTCTTGTTTTCGGTCTTTATAAGTACCATCACTTCCCATATATCTTCTCTCTATCACCTGTATGCAGATGATCTTCAGATCTATTCACAAAGTAAAATTGCGAACCTTCCTGAAACTATACATTTGGTTAATAACGATTTATTAAATATTTCTAAGTGGTCTACTGCATTTGGATTACGAGTAAACCCAAATAAGACACGGGTGCTGATTATTGGTAGTTCAAAATTAATTTCTCGTATATCTTTTTCGGATCTCCCGGTTGTACACTTTAGCGGTGTTAACATACCGTTCAGTGCTACAGCTAGGAATTTGGGAATTACCTTTGACCAGCACCTGTCTTGGGAACCACAGGTAAGTGAGGTAAGTAAAAAAATTTTTGCTGCCTTTGGCTCCCTTCGAAGATTACGCAACTTTCTACCCATCCCTACCAAAATTATGTTAGCACAGTCACTCCTACTACCAATTCTCGATTATGCTGACGCATGTTATCTTGATCTAAAAGAGGAGCAACTTAATAAACTTGAGCGTCTCCAAAATCTTTGCATCCGATTCATATTTGGTCTTCGTAAATATGATCACGTTTCTGAATTTCGTAAAAAGCTCAAGTGGCTCCCAATCCGGCTTCGCAGGAATACTCACATCCTTCAACTTCTGTACTGTATTCTGTTCAATCCGTCTTCTCCTTCATATCTAAAAGCACGTTTTCAATTTCTTAGTTCTTCACATAGCCATAATCTTCGTTCTGAAGAGAATTTGGTCTTAAAAATACCACCCCATACAACATCTTTTTACTCTCACTCCTTTACTGTCCAATCAATTCGTCTTTGGAACTCTCTTCCACTTGAAGCAAGACGTGCACCAAATATGACTTCTTTTAAAAAAATGATAAAAGAGCACTATCTTGCTTCAATACTGTAATTAATTATTGTATTTATTATGTAAGTATCTATAGTATGTAAATGTATATATCTATAATGTGTATGTATATTATATTATTATATAAGTATATATTTATGGAGTATTTATTTATGTATCGTTTATATACCTATATATTGTATCTATTTTTTATGTATTCAGTAAATTGTACACCCCTACCATTCTATCTCTCTCCTCTACCAAAGGTTGCCTGGAAGAGATCGCTGTTTTAGCGATAAGGCCGCCTATTTGTACATTTTCCTTTCTTTGTCTTTCTCTTATTACTTCTGTCTATACTGGTGTGCAATAAAGCGTAAATAAATAAATAAATAAATAAATAAATAAGGAATGTTTAACCGATATAGGCGCCATAAGAAAATGAATATTGTGGTCAATTGTGTTCAAATCGTTGGACAAATTGATAAGGACTTACACAGTTAACCGGCCGACTTCCATGACGTGTACAACCTGTAGAAGCGTTGTAGTCTTGCTACAGTACAGAAAATCCCTAATTGTTGTAAATCTGCTTATGACTAATGTATAAAATTTGATTTGTTATTGCTTTCTTTATACATATGATACAAAATAAGTTTACTTAGTATAAAACACTTGAAAAAATTTATGTAAAGTCTATTAGGTTTTGAAAACTCAATAGAAAAACAATTAAATTGGTATATAAAATAATTTCAAGTTCCCTCTATTCTAACAAATCTAAAGAAACACAACAATTCGATGTTGACTTTCACTGTTTTAATTCAAGAGCTTAGCTCAAGACTGATTAAATGCTAAACATTTGATTATATGTAGTACTCGTAGTGAGATCACGAAAAACTCATCTCACATACTGGATTGATTCAAATTACGTGCACTAAGTTATAATCATATATATTTAATAAAAACTTTTTTCATATTTATAACTAACGAATGTCTTATAAAGAAATAGAATTATATTTCAGAATATATTCATTTAGCTACTATTAATACGACAGTTACACAACCGTATTAAAGGAAACAGTAATGCTTTAATTCATGGTAAATTACAACTTACAAATTATATATGTATATTCATTATTATAATATTTTATCTAATCATTTTCTTGTACAGACTACATTAACATTAGGTTAGCATTAAGTTTAATTTGTAAGAGTTCCTTATAATAAAAAATAAATCATTTGACAGTAGTGTTTGTTTTTTTCCGACCTTTCGACTGTAGTATAAAAATGACTTCCAACAGCTAGTATTGAGAGATATAAATAATGAACCATAGATATAATCTTTAAATTGTTGCCGTGTCATCTTTCTCATATTTATAATATGTTTGATGTCTAGATCTATATTTCAGTCGTTTTTTATCAGGCCCGAGGTACCGGAAGTCGGAGCAGACTGGAAGGGACGCACATGAAGCAGTGGGGAGAAAAAATGCGCTACCGAAATCCCAGAACAGGTGCTCCGTTTTGTTACTGCTATATTTTGAAACGAATAATTTTTTACAAGCAATCCTATCTTTTAGAGAGTTAAGATAAAGTATTAACAAAACTCTTTACTAATTACTTTCATTACCAGAATATTACACAAATGAATTATCGAGTGATGTACTTACTTGGTAAATAATCTATTATTACAGCTTTCAGCTTTTCAGCTACAGAGAAAATTCTTTTATCATATGACTAAGGACTATAATGGGATTCATACGTATAAGAAACGATATAAAGTCCCAGACGATATATGTGCATCGGCGTCCACACCATACATATATATATGAATTCGCGAATTTAGAACCGCGTTGTATTAATAGAGCTTACGCTTCCTTGGGAGACCAACATCCCAAAGTGGTCTTTGGGATGTCTGTGGTCGTTGGTCTTTGGCATGGTTGCCATGAAGGTCAATAAGTATTACGAACTCACTGAGAAACGGTAGAGGTGGGAGCGATAGGTATAACAGCTAAATCTCTGTACAATCTAGTAACAGAATTAGGGCTGTCCAGAACTAACATCAATTCATTCTTATAATGTTCTTCGAATTCAGCCCTAACAGGTTTGTTTTAGATTTGGTTAGGTAAGGAGAGGAGCTTGGACGGTGGAGATGAGCGTTTAACGAGTGTTAGATAGTTGCCTCTTAAACCTACACCTGGGTCGCAAGTCCCAGTCACTATTGAAGCTCCTCTCCTTACAACGATGGACCCGGCACCCGTCAGTTGAATCCATGGAATGCTGAATTATTTCATCTCTAGATATTTATAAACCAAATTTTAAACGTAGTCTAAATTCTAGAGTAATCGGTAAATTAGTTCACTTAAACGGTACCCGCATCCTGTTATTACGAGATAAAATGGCAGCAATCAAATAGTTGTTTACATAATTATAAGCTTAGTAAGCTAACACTGGTTTACGTCCCACTTTAAACTGAGGTGTTAAAATTTACAACAGTAGAAATAGCGTATATGACACTTTATATTTAAATATCATTTTATTACTAGAGATATTTCTATTATTTTATTAGGAGAATTATTTACAACTCTTTAAAACGTATCATGTTTTCCTCCTCTTTAATAATGAATACTGTTTTAGAACGGTTATTAGTTTGTTAACTAAGGTAAGTTGTACTTAAGGTTTTTAAGTCTTAAAGAATATCGTAATTATGAATAGGAAGTTTTGTTGTTAAGTAGTAATAGTAGTTCAACTTAGACGGCACTACGTAACTGTTGTTAACTACGTAAAATGTTCTAATATTATTGAATATTTTGCACTAAGTACTTCCTATGTTATGCTTACCTACTACAACCAGATGAGATCTTAAGGTAAAATTCACATATAATAAATTAATACTTAATATTAGTTCGTCTCATTCAATATTATCTAACTAAAGACAGGTTTAATTGCAGAAATGTCTGTATAGTAAGGTCATAGATACATATATTTTACTAATTGAAACATCATAGCCTCCTTTAATTAATAATATAGTGTACCATACTATTATGTAAAACGATAGTACTTTTGAATGGTAAGACATTTTAATAATAATATCCAGTAAGAAATACAAATCACATAAAATAAGATGGGAATCTTTTATTTTTGATTTATTGCTAAAATTTTTATTGGTATAATTTTAAACAAAATAAGTCGTTAAAAAGTGTCAGGTGAACGTTTCAGTGTATCATGAAATGCTATGAAAACTAACATCAAACAGTGAAACTATAGAAGCACCTTTATATATGAATTGAAATATTTTCAGTGTGATATATATACGTAATATGCTGTAATAACTACTATATAAATGTACATATACATATGTAATGTCATAACAATAGCCACACGATAATCCCCGGTTTAAATTCAATCCACTCCAAATTACAATCTGTACCCTCAAAGCTTGGTTGGTTAGAAATTTGTGATGACGAACTATGTAGTATTTATTACAGCTTAATTATATGGAATTAATTCTATGTTATGTATGATTGGTGATCCTTAGTGTAGATGATTAAAAAATACGCCTACAATATTTTTATAGGGATTATAGAAAGCATATTTAATTCATTTTCAAACTGAGGTATCTGCTTAAAAAACTACTGATTTATAAAAAAAAATCTTATAATACTGTATACTGCTTGTACTTAATATTTTCTTTGTGTATATTAAAAGTAAATTTTAAATCAACACTCAGTATAGCGGTTAAACAAATTTGAAATCAAACACTAAAAGGAAGGTATATTCTTTGGATGTATGTATATTCACAAAGCAAAGCGTGGTCCGAGCTTGGAGATCGCAACTTCAAAGAGAATTTCTTGAATACACAGATGATTTTATTCATATTTTTGTGCTTTATACGTATAGCGTTTTGTAGGTAAATGTAGTTTTAATTTAAATATTATACTAACATAGAAGCTATTAATATCTTGGTTTAAATTAGAATTACTTTATACAGCTCGTTGGTAGACCTACTTTTTATATGAAGAGTAATTGCTGATCAATAAACGTAATAATAAAATAAAAAGATTTTACGATATACTAACAAAAATTGCCTTTGGGCGTGGGGTATACACGTCCATTAACCCGGCTCCTGGGAGACTAGAGTCATCTTCTCTGCGCTCCACTAGAGCAACTCCTGTCTGGCGCGTCCTTGTCGCGGGGGTGGGCATCGCACACTTCAGTAGGCCGAAGGGTGTAGATGGCGAAGTTCAGCAGGGACCCAATTCTGCGGGGTATATCGTAGAGCCCGTGCCCAGGGTTACGGGTGAAGACCTCAACGGTGGAAAGAGCGGAGACAATAGTTGTCGGTACGGTCCAACCAGTGGAGGAGGCAAGCCATAGGGGCGTTGTACCTGGATCCTGATGGAGGGCAGCGGTAGCCATCAGTACTGTAGTGAAGCGTAAGAATCATATATTCGGAATTGGTTCACATACAGATTTCTACGGACACTGAGTCTGAGTACCGCGATGTAGAAAGCAACGGGATACTACTACATTATATTTCCCACGAGAGTTGAATGATGAAATGCAACACAATAAAGTAGTACGTTTGCCTGGCAATCCGCGTAGCAACCGGCGCTATGAGTTTTCCGGGACTCACAGTGTGAAATTGGCTACCGGCCGAGGGAATGTAGGCAACCAGGCATCCCCCGGAAAACATGCGACTGGAAGAAAATCGTTCCAGCTACGAAATACCACTCGTATAGGAACTTGGAACGTACGAGGACTCCTCGATGGGGGTAAATTACACATCTTGGATAATGAGCTCCAGCGATGCAACATCACCATCACCGGTCTAAGCGAGACGCACTGGAAAAGTAGTGGCCACCGAGACTTGAGTAAACACACCATCTATTATTCAGGAGATGACTCCAGTAGCCTTGCTGGAGTGGCCATTGCAATTCCAAAACAATGGACTAAAGCGGTCCTAGGTTATAATCCGGTCAGCAACAGAATTATAATGATGAAGATTGATGCGTGTCCCACTCCGCTGAATATTATACAGGTGTATGCGCCCACCAGCACCGTAAAAGATGAAGATGTAGAAAAGTTCTACAATGACATCGAATCTTTAATAGCAACAATACCAAGTAGAGAGTTGTTGATCATACTCGGCGATTTTAATGCAAAAGTGGGTGACACACGCATGGATGTGGGGTTGCGGCATATTGTGGGTAACTATGGTCTCGGTCAAAGAAATGATAGGGGGGAGAGATTGCTCCAATTTGCAGCCGACAACAACTTCACCATAATGAATACAGTATTCCAACATCATCGCAGAAGACTGTACACTTGGACGTCCCCTGATGGAAAATACCGGAACCAGATTGACTATATACTAATAAGATCTAGATGGCGAAGTTCGATTATGAACGCACACACATTGCCCGGAGCCGACTGTCAATCTGACCATCAGCTTCTCACAGGTACACTTAAACTTAAGTTACGAAACTCCATACCTCGTAAACCTACCAAGAGGCTCGAAATCATAGACAACTTATCCTTCAAGAACCAACTGGAAACACATAAAAGCACATGGCGGTCACTAGCCCTTGATGATGATAGCGACTCACTCTGGCAATCCGCAAAGGAGTACATAAAAAAATCTATCCGCTCCTCGCAACCTATTCGGACAAAAGATAAACGCCAACATTGGATGTCAGAACGTACCTGGCGTCTCGTAGAACATCGTCGTGAGTTGAAGACCAAGGGGGCATCCGCCCAAGACCTGAATTTGTTAGGGGCGCAGATACAATCTTCTACGCGTAAGGACTATAATAACTATCTCAAAAACATCTGCCTGGAATTAGAAAAAAATGCCAACCGCCATGAAACTAAAGATTTATTTAAGAAGATTCGAACCATAACTCGACAATTTAAACCGAAAACCTGGGCCGTTGAGGATGAAAATGGAGTGACCGTAACAGAAATCAAGGACATTCTGGGAGTGTTGAGGAAATATTGCGCGCAACTTTTCAGTGATAGCAGCATAAAAACGTCTACGTGTAACATTAATACACTATCACAGCATGATATGGAGCCAAAAATCCTGAAAAGTGAAGTTCGAGCCGCAATAGATCACTTGAAGAGGAATAAAGCTGTAGGAGTTGATACCATTCCGATAGAAGTTTTCAAAGCAATAGGTGAACATGGAGTTGATATTATGCACGTTATCTGCAACCGTGTCTGGGAGACAGAAAAATGGCCACGAGACTGGGCACATTCCGTGTTCATACCTCTGCACAAGAAAGGATCAACGAAGAAATGTGGCAACTACAGACTAATATCTTTAATTACACACGCCAGCAAAGTTCTTCTTCATGTCATAAATACCAGGTTGCGAGCTTTTCTGAATCCCGAAATAGCTATTGAGCAGGCGGGATTTGTCAAGGGTCGTGGAACAAGGGAGCAGATTTTAATTCTTCGACAAATAATTGAAAAGTCTAGAGAGTTTAACATCCCACTCTACATCTGCTTTGTCGACTTTCGCAAAGCATTCGATACTGTCAAGTGGCATAAATTATGGGACGTACTAGTTCAAATGGGTACTCCCATTCATCTGGTTCGTCTCATACGACGACTTTACGAGGATGGAACTGCGAATGTTCGAATAGACGACGTTGACTCGAAAAGTTTCTGTACACACGCTGGAGTTCGGCAAGGATGCATACTCTCTCCACTCCTTTTCAACATCTACACGGAATGTATTATGCGAATTGTACTGGAGACATGGGACAAGGGCATTTCAGTGGGAGGACAGAGAATATCGAACCTGAGATATGCTGACGATACCACTCTTCTAACACAAACGAAAGAAGATATGGAACACCTGCTGACCTGTCTAGAGACAACAAGCCTCGCATTCGGACTGACGATCAACAGAGACAAAACCAAGATGATGATAGTGGACCGAGCTGAACTAAACCATCCTGACATCTCTATGATCGGCAACTGTGAGGTTGTCCAGTCTTTTGTGTACCTCGGTTCCACTATCACAAACACTGGAGGATGTGAGGATGAGATCCGAAGGAGATGTGCTATCACGAGATCTGCTGTCGATAAGCTTAAAAGAGTCTGGTGCAACCGTAATATCACCAAAGCAACAAAAGTCCGCCTAATGAGAAGCCTAGTCTTCCCGATTTTCCTGTATGGCGCAGAGACGTGGACTGTTCATCTTAAAGACCGACGCAAAATTGATGCACTCGAGATGTGGTGCTGGCGGCGATTATTGCGTATTCCCTGGACAGCGTTTCGAACCAACATCTCAATCCTGGAGGAACTAAAGATCAAGCAGAGATTATCGTCGACTGTACAAACACGAATTCTCAAATATTTCGGGCATGTGGTCCGTAACGAACATTCAATGGAGCGACTCGTTGTGCTGGGGCAAGTCGAGGGCAAAAGATCACGTGGCCGAGCACCTACGCGTTGGGTGGACCTTATCAAAAGTACGACGCAAACCTCGGTAGTCCAGAGTTTCCGAGACGCTGAAGACCGGAATAAGTGGAGGCGCATCGCGGGAGCTGTTTTATCCAAAGAAAGTGCAAGTCATCAACCACGACCACTCTGTCAAGAGTGAACGACTGAGAAGAAGAACAAAAATTAAATTGAAACGGATATTTTTCAAAGCAAAATTCTTTTTACATTTAAGGATGAACCTCCAATTTAATTTATTGTATTTATATGCAATACTTAATTAAATTCGTAGATATATAGTGATTTAATGAAATGAAACCTAATGTACTATAGTAGTGTATCTTGGCAATGTTCCAATGGTAATATTTAATCATGAGACAAGATGTCCGCACTTTATCCGGAATTAATGACCATGATCATTTAAATGTATGCTCTGTTGCTATTATTTCTCGTATAAACAGTGGGTCTCGATAATAAATTTTAAAACAAAATTCAAGAAAGAAAAAATTTACACACTCGTCTAAGATTCAAACCTGCAACCTTTGAGATATTGCATTCTCCTCGCCTTGTCTATTGAGCTATCGTGTCAGTACAAGTTTTGAGAAAGTAAAACTAGTCAGTCAATAGCAATTTCTTCCTTAATGACGTTTAAATATTATAAAAGTTATTTTTAAATTTACTGAAGTTTTAAAGTGTTAAAATAACATATAAAACCTCTTACCATTAATTGATTGGTCAGAATTAATTAATGGTAACCCCTTAAACATAAATAGGTGCAGTTGATAATGGCAACACTGTTCATACAGCCATCGTTGGTTCAAACGATAAACCACAAATAACCAAACATTCAGCTAAGTAATTGACCGCAAACCGTTATATCGCTCAGTGGCCAATCAGAAAAACAAACGGATTCTTAAACGGAATATATCTTCAACATATGGAACAGTTGACGAAAATATTGTTACATAAATTTAATATTATAATTCATATATAATTGATAGTTTTAATGAAATCAAACTTCCATTAATTTCATTCTCTTGTACCTGGTAATTTCCCAGCTTTAGCCAGTCTGCCTTATATGCTGTAAATTGTATTTTTTTGCTAATTGTTTTATGACCGGACGTCTGCCTGACATCAAACCTCTTTGGGAACATTCATTTCATTAATTTTTTTTTGAGAATGTTATTTTTATGAAATTCGTTAAGAATTTGCTTTAATAAATGTAATTGTTCGGATATCATTGGTTTATTATTATTATAATGCTATTTATAAAAAAATAATCAGCGAAATTCAGATTTCAGAAAAAAAATTAAATGTAAGTTCCATGTATTAAAAAAATCACTAGTTCCGCCATGTTAAATCCATGAATATTTTAATGAAAACTTAACATGTCCCATCAAAACAACACTCACGGCCCCTCGTTTATTAAAATATTTAAGCTACTTACATCCAGCAAACGGTTACAGTGGAGAAAAAAGAAGATTTAAAAGGATACATATATAAAGATAATATTTAATAGGAGAAAAATCTTTTTTATAGTGGAGCAATGCTTCGTAGTTCAAACATATACGAAGTGTATGACTAGCTAACTCACAAGCGTTTAAATTCTAGACGGTTCAGAAAGGTATTGACCGAAAAGCCTGAGGATTCTGATGGACATTCACATATCTAAGTTTACGTAACCTTAGTACAAGCTCTCATCCTTTACCTACATACGTACAGTTATATCGCAGTGACGACACAAATTCAAACTGGATAGGGGAGTAGGACAGATTTTATATTATATTTAAGTTACGAGTAACGTTTATAATATGCTGAAATAGTTTTTTATGACTGATATAAATAATTATAATTAATTACTTAAATAAAGATAAAATTAATAATTGTTATAGAAGAAACTGTTTTAGTTGATAATTTGAGAAAGTCGAAGGAATTGGACTACAAAAATTTACTTTATTAATATTTAA